TGGGGTTTGCTACACTGATTTTACCATCGGGATAAGAGAGCAGAAAAAATGAAAATGAAAAAAGAAAGAAAGAAATGAATAAAACATATGAGCTCAAAATAGGAAACTGAGGAACATAAGAGAATATACAATGAAATGTGATTGTAAGTTGTTTTTTAATCAGAACTGTAAAAGAGAATTTACAAATGATTTAAGAAAAATGTACATCCATGGAAGGTTGTAAATAAGGGAATATTTTATCCAATTTAATGCTACCCTGTCAGATGAACAGGATATGGTCTATATATAATATTCTCAATCATAAGCAGAGGAGGAGGAGGAAGAGGAAGGAGAGGAGGAGGAGGAGGAGAAGGAGGAAGAGAAGAGAATAAAGAGGAGGAGGAGAAGGAAGAGGAGAAAATAAAGGTAAGAGAAAGGAAAGGAGGAGAAAGAGGCGGAGGAGAGGGAGGAGGAGGAGGAGGAGGAGAAGAAGAAAAAAAGGTACAAGATGAGAATAAGGATGAGGAGGAGGAAGTGTTGGTGGTGAATGAGGAAGAGAAAAGAAAATTGATAAAAGAAAAGGAGGAAAAGAAAAAAAATAATGTGGGGGACAGAAGACTTGATGACAAAAAAAGGAAAAACAAGAAAAAAGGGCAGAAAAACCTAACAAAACAAAGCAAGGTAACTGAAGATGACAAGAAAAAGAACGTTCATCATAGAGAAGACACAATTCACACCTTCACATACCAGCAGCCTGCCAAATGTGAATATAAGATAAAGAAAAAAATAACAAAATTACAAATGAAAACAAAAGTAAAAAATGAAACATGAAAACCTAATTTCATGGGTATTCCTGTAATGAAGTAAATTCTCCACCAAAAAACACAATTCGTGTTTTCTGTATCTGCAAAACATTTTCAATATTTCCTGTAGCTACTGTTTTCATATGGACCATTAATACTCTTTGATTATTGGCTTGTCAAGCAATACTTTGTCAATAGTGACAAATTTGCTACATTGGGAGCTCAGAGATGGATGACGAGAGTGCTATCTGCACCTGTCACCCATTTACTAGTGTATACTTTTCACACATTGAGAGTGTAAAGTAGTAAAGTCAAGCTCAAGTGTATGCAAAATAGAAAGATCCACCACATCATTAAATCATCATAGCTTCACCTAGTAAAAATACCCCCAAGGGAAAATTTGAGGTCACTACTTTAAAATCTTTGTATTACAATTGAGTGGCATCAGCTCATAACTGAAAAGTACAGTTATTATGATAAAAACCTACTAACTACAAAAAAATATTCACATTTGAAAATACATGCGATTATACAAATTTAAAATAAAAATTCTGCTATATATGGATAACTCATATCATAGCCTGTATCATCCTAATCTTCAGTGATACAGCAATGAATGGCATAATCCTTCAAAATCCAACTAATACTATGGCTTGGCATGGCCTGAAAAGAGTCAACAAAACATACAGATTTAATGTTCAAACCTTATGATATTGTTCTTATAATTTTAAACTAATTTTCATATACTTCTCACATAATTTTAAGCTATATTTAAAAAAAAGAAAATCTCTCTCTTAAAAAAAGAGGATGCCTTATCAAGTTTAGGGTATATTCTTTCCGCCCAAAAATAAACAATAATGGATCACTCTTAAAATGGCTAAAATTACCAATGTTAGTCAGTTTTCGGTAAATGGTGCCCCACTGGGATGTGAATCTAATACACATTCTCCTGCATAAAACTACTTAAATAGGAGAATGAGGAAAACCCCACATAGTCTAAGAAGATTAGAGAAATCCCAAAAAAAGAGCATGTTAATGTCATGTCATTCCCAGAATAAATGCATTTCCTATCTATGTGTTGTATATGTATGTCCAAAAGCATGCTTTGTAATCAAAACTGTCCAATAACATGATTACAAGACATTTCTATTAAAAGAGTATATAAAAGTGGAAGTACAATACATCATAAAACAGGGTATTCAAAAAGTATAAATGAGGGAGTAACCAGGTTTACATTTTGAATCAGTTGTCTCAAATAAATGTATTATTATATGGCCAGTGGGCTTTTGAATACTGGGGGGGGGGGGGCAGAGGAATGGTGAGGGAAAAGAAAGGGAATGAGAGTAGGCGAGAAAGAGAAAGAGAGAAGGGGAGAGAGAGAGAGAGAGAGGGAGAGAGAGAGAGAGAAGAGAGAGAGAGAGAGAGAGAGAGAGAGAGAGAGAGAGAGAGAGGAGAGAGAGAGAGAGAGAGAGAGAGAAGAGAGAGAGAGAAGGGAGAGGAGAGAGAGAGAGAGAGAGAGAGAGAGAGAGAGAGAGAGAGAGAGAGAGAGAGAGAGAGAGAGAGAGAGAGAGAGAGAGAGAGAGAGAGAGAGAGAGAGAGAGAGAGAGAGAGAGAGAGAGAGAGAGAGAGAGAGAGAGAGAGAGAGAGAGAAGAGAGAGAGAGAGAGAGAGAGAGAGAGAGAGAGAGAGAGAGAGAGAGAGAGAGAGAGAAGAGAGAGAGAGAGAGAGAGAGAGGGAGAGAGGGAGGTGGGAGTGGGAGAGGAAGAGGGGGTGGGAAGAAGATAGAAAGAAGGGGAGAGAGGGAGGGAGGAAAGGAAGGATAGGGAGAGGAAGGGGAGGGAGGAAGAGGAATTTTATAACAGTGTTATGTTTTTTCACTTTTTTCAATTATTGTTACATGACATTTTCTTCCCTAGCTTAGCAAATCAACTCCAACTCAATATGTCTATAATTAGCTGAAGAGGGAAAAAACCTAGCAATCCTTACTTGGTTTCATGTTATTCATAACTTTGTGAAAAATACTGATTCACTCACATTCTCTGACTCTTTTGTTTTAGTACACGATATGTTATGAAACACAATCACTAATGTTTGCATATAGCTAATATTTTCATGTTGATACTGTAAATAGTATGTAAAACCTAACCCCTTTAGCATGAAAAGGAATTAAATACATAAGTACACATACATTTTCTAAGACTCTTACTACATTGTATTAGCATTTGCATGCCTCTTATTCAACTCTAATATCTAATACTCCTGTCTTTTTATGGTACAAATTCATTATTACATACAAGTAAGCTCTTTCTCAGTAAAATCAAATATCTCACTACAAGCAAGACACTATTAGTGAATAACATCTAAAAATACAAATCATTTACATAATCTAAATTGATTAATGCTTAACAATGTATCATTTTTCTTTAAAATTCTGCATATTAAATCATCAACACACACTATTGACTTTTTTTCTGCTCTATCTGATATATCAGTGCAACAGATCCATCAGTCTAACATGCAGAGTATAAAAAACTTCAGTTTCATTTTGTCTTTTGAAAACTACAAGTTTGGTTATGTGTAAATCATTCTATGCATAGCACTCTTACCCACACTCATTATCACCTCTATGTTTAAGACTAATAAAAATGAGTAATCTAAAGGAAGTGAACTCACTAACGTACTAGGAAAATAATCTAAATCCTGATTGCTAATTCTATGATCACTCTAAACTTCCTTTTCTCTTTACACTGGCAAACATTTATAATTCACAATACTATTTTAAACATTACCATTAGCTAATATTCTGGCTGGTTCATAGGTCGTCTGGGTCACATGGATTCATCTCTAAGAACTTTTCAAGCTTCTCTGTAATTATTCTATTTATACAGGGTAAGTAAAGTCATTTCCCTCTAGCTATGTATAGGCAGTAGTAATAACTAATAATGAGAATGCAACACACAGCTTATGAAGCAAGCATTTTCCAAGACAGCAGAACCTTATGATACTAGCACGTCAAGGCTTCAAATATATATAAATGTTGTTGAATAATAACATGAACTAAATAAGACACATATGTAACTTACATGATCTTGAGTAAGAGTTTCTATATCTATTTTTCTTAACATTTTAGTGCATAAATGTGAGATCTATTGGATATATGGAGGATACAAAATTATGTGCCCATCTATCTGGCACTGAAAGTACCTAAGGATCTCTACATGTAAGTGACACAGGGTAATCAATACACCCAGACCTGAAATGGTGCAACACTGAGTTTGGTGATCTCTTTATAAACTGTTCTAAACTCTGCAAACCTAAAATATCTAGGTTGTCTGGAATAATATGTCTGGCCAAAAAGGGAAAATTCACGTAACGTCAGGTTTAAAGAATGCTAACATCAGGGATATATCACTAATGATTCAATGCACAAAAATGGACTCTTACTCTTTCGCCTTCCACGAAGACAGAAACACTGCAAAAATTCAATTCCCATCATTGTAAGACTTCTAGACCCATCAGACACAGATGGTAATTTCTTTGTTCTCAATCTCAAAATCAGAGTAGAAATGTTAATAAACACTGAAACATATTCAAATTTATGTGAACATGAATATAATTTCTAGCATACCATGCAATGCCCCAACAGAGTACCCATGTACTAAAACACCTTTTTTTCTTTTATTCTCTTAGGAGAATAAACATCATTCTTTACATTTCATATGAACAGTGACCTATCAAATTAGAGAAAATAATGAAAAGCAGTGCAATTCTAAGTTAATATTGCTGTGAGGAAGCATGTAAATATTTTTTTTCATTGATTTCAGGCACTTCTGTTAAGCATACCTGACAAAACCATAAGATGCTGTCATTCTGACCATCATCCAAGCATACTGTGTTTGGTGTCAAAAGCAAGTATAAAAGCAAAAATTTCTATGAAAGCAGTGTTTGAAGAACATGAAGCAAGAGTTGAAGGTTTACTGATGATACAAAATAATTCCCAACCATTTTTTTTTTTTCTTTTTCTCTTCTTTCTTCCTTTCCCTTTCTCTTCAGATATGACAAATCATCACTTTACTCAAAATTCCTAAAATACCTCAGAACATTTACATGAAAATCCTTCATTACCAAAGAAGATTCTACAATTTAACCCTGACATCTGAACTCTGAAATGTTTCAAATGGACCAGAGAGAACAGAACATCACTATTGTTCCCGCTTACCGTCGTCTCCTCAAAGCATTGTTTTGGCCAGGCAGACCAAAGAAACCACGAGGAATGACCATTTGTGGGTTTCCTCTCGCAGGCCTCGATTTGCCTAAGGCTGACAGCGAGGACAAATGGGCAGCATAACCGTCACTTAAGACCTGAAATATTAATATAATGAATGATAATATAAGTTGTGACCACCAATGCATTACTAAAAATTATATGCTTCTGTAAACAAATTATTTTTCCCAAAATATATGTTCATGCGTAAACAGGTCAATCACTTTGCCTTTCTTACTCACAGGTAAAATAATTTGCATTCCAAATGAGTATCAAATATTTTACCTGTGCATTTGCATGTTGCTTTTTGCTGGCCTTTCCCACAATGTAAATCTGGCCTGTCTTCAAGCCAATACTGTTATACACTGCTATGTCCTTTGAACTTCCATATGCTGCCACAATGACGATCGCATGATCCTAAAAGGATATAAAACAAATAAAATATATCAAGATCCACAACAAAAAGGCTTTACACTACTAACAAAGCAAACTCCACTTTTAAATCCTAAAAAGTCCTAAAATTAAGATCAGATTCTTTACTTGGATCAATCCTCGTAGATATTCAGCTTTATGTGCCAGTGGATCCCTGGTGAGACCGTCTGCAAAAGAGACTAGGCCATGGGGGAAGTTGTGTTGGGCCAGCCACGACACAACTTTCTGCTGCTGCATGTCTGGCCGGCCAGTCACGTAGATTATCAAGTATCCAAGTTCTTGCCAGTGCCTGTAAATACATGAGGGACTTAGCTTGAGTTTGTTGAATGTGTGTCTCAATTGGTTATTCTGAATGTTTTTTGTATAACAAATCAATAAGATAAGATAAGACATATATAAAAAAAATGGAAACATGAAAATAGAGCAATAATGTGGGGAAGGAGAAGGAAAAGATAGATTTAGATGACTAACAAGGTGAAGCATTGGAAAAATTTAAATATAACAAGCTCAGTCAAGGCTGAGCACAATATTATCTACTCAAATCAATATTGCAGTGTATATAAACATCTTTCTTATTAACTCAATGTCGACAGGGCGCTTGCTACCTCCAAGCAGCCATCTGTGTTGTTGCATGCTCCTAGTTGGTTACTTGAGTCACTGTTTGATAAAATCTCCATTCAAATGATCTTTGTCTACATTTTTCTCTTTCCTTCATTCTTTCTTTTTCACATGTCTAACTTTGAAAGGTTGTAGCTCCGAATGCAGACATACAATGTGTGATTATCCCCTATAATCAAATATGCTTTGTTGACTTTTATGAAACATATAAAATCTCAAACCACATCTTGACATCTATCTGGACCAAAACTATATATTAATAATGATCTGATAGCCATACAAAATTATCAATTTATCTTAAACTCCATAGAAGAAAAAAAAGGACAAAGACATGAAGTGAAGCTAATGGACAGAGAAAACAAACAATAACATGAGTAAGAAAAAAAGGAAGAAGAAACCTAAAGAATAAAGGAGACTCAGAAGAAAAATAACATTTACATACTAATATAAAACTACTACAAAAGAAGAAGACTAATACTTACCGAACAACGTCGACAGCTCCTGCGCGAACTTTAGGATCCCGGCCTGTTACTGACACTGAAGCTGTGAAGGACCCATCAATACTAAACACTACACTCTCAGTTTTGGGGGGCACAACAGTCAAGTAAAGAGTAGCACTGGTGTGGTCACCTCTGAAAGAAACACATGAAGTGAGTGAAATTGTCATCTCAATACTCCTTGGCTTATCATGGTCACCTTTAAAAACTCATCATCAAGTTTTTGAAAGTAAATACTCAATTGAATTTGCTGCTCCATGGTGAAATACTAAGATTTAACCTTTGTCCACCTAAGCAACTTCTACTTTTCTACAAGAAAATGTATGTAGCCATATGTAAATCGCATGACATGTACTAGATGGCAGATAAACTAATTGATCATCTTCTGCTACAAATAATTTCATGGAATACTTTCTCCATACAAGGTTCAGTAACTTAAAGCTATGACAGAAACTTTTACCCATGCCATGTCATACTGAATCCCTCACCAGGTGTTGCGTGCAGTCAGACGCTCAAGTAAGAATTAGAAGCATAGAAAGCATATTTTTCCTTTTTACAATTTTGACAAAGTATACAATATCGAACTTGAAGCCTACTTTGGAGGTTACCTTCTCAATGACCACAGTCACTTTCAAACATGTGAAAAAAGTGCACACAACACAGAGCAGCAGAGATGCTTGCCACATGCCATAAGGGCTCAGTGTGTCATGGTAAAAACAAAGGGCACCCAGTGTAAATAAGTTAATATATTTGAAAGAGAAGCCATGACAATTTTCTGCAATTCTTAACCCTTATGATCCAGATGATGTTACAGTCCTGTCATGGAAAAATCTGGGTCAAGGCCCAGTAACATGAAAATACCATCATTGGACACGTGACACAAACTTATTGTCATGAGTGAAGGGCAGGGTGATGGAAAAGACTCGCCACTAATGCACAAAGCTCTTGGAGTGTGATTTGACTCATTAGGCACTTAGAAGGGGGCTTTAGCCTTATTCCCATCAATAAATGAATGTGAAACATAACATGTGTAAGCCATGGCTGGAAGAGTGCTGACTCCAGGGAGGACACTAGTTCCATGCTCTGCAACGTATTCCTGGCCACTGTGACTGGCAGCACAGGTTGTATTACGGAAAATTGAAAATTATGAAAAAAATAAGATATATGACACAAAATAGTCAAATGTTCCATATTTATTTTCTCTGGCACTGAGTTATTTACTACATAGAAAGATGATATAGAGTCTGTGTAAGGAAAATAAGCCATTTCCATCTAGAAAAAGACAAATATGGACATTGAAAAATGAAAAAAAAAAAATAAATAATAAAAAAAATAAATATAATAATAATAACAAAAATAAAAATTAATAAAAGTTTACACAAAATAACTTTGCAAGGGGAGGCACAGAGAGAAAATGGGTGTTCGTGCGTGCCTGGCCTATGCACCACACACCCAGGATGTTGGCTACTTCTGTCACCCGCTGCCCGTATTTTCGGCATCATGATTTCCATGATGCAACTGGATCCAACAGGTTAATAGTCATATATCCAAATGAAAGTAAGTTTTTAGAGATATACCAACAATAGTAGTATACAGTATCTCTTAGCCTTTACTTTATATAAAGATACAAAATACTCATAAATATCATCATCCTAATACTGTAGTGACACTGGACCAGCAAACAGCAAAATGTCAGTGAATGGTAAAACAATACCACATGGAAAAAATGGCAAATTATCCCATGATACACAAAAGTCTATCAAAGTTTACTGTATTTTCACCACCAGTTGATTTTATCTGCCATCATTTTTACCAGAGCTGCCCTTCAGTCACATTATCCAAAATGGGAAAGGTATAGCTGAAAGGCAAATTAGTAAACAGCAATATGTTTGGAAAGAATCAACCAAACCACCATGACAACTGCACAGCAAATCATCTTGAAAGCAGTTATCTACTTCTCTCCACTTACAAATATCCACCAAATTAAGAAGGCCTCCACTCAGAGCAACTACCCACACCACATTAATGCCACCTGACCCTTTTCACCACCACAACATGCTCTAGGTGCCCATATCTTTGTAAAAAAAAAATATATATACATGTGAAATCCCTGTTCACCACACACAATAAAGATACAAATATATTTCCTCACTGAGAAATCTCTGGACTCAACTGCTGGCTGTGGTAAGTTTCCTGGGAGCTGTAGAGATCCCAAATAAAGACACCATGTAAATATGTATGTAAAGCAAAGTAATAATTCTATATGGAGTAAGTATATCAAGTAATTAGTCCATATGGGGCAGCTATGTATAGTAATCAGTCCATATGAGGTAACTACGTAAAGTATTTCAAACATGATCTCATATGCAATACAAACTCACAAACGTAGTCTAGTAATATACAAACGCATCTCCATCTTTGGTATGATATAATTTCTTATATAACAGGAGTCTAAAACAATATAAAATAATAAATAAGCTAGGATTAACTATATGAGTTAATCATTCTCCTTGGATTATCTATGATACATAATTTCTCCACATGGAGTAATCCTATAAAGTAATTATTCTTTGTAAACATGGAGTAACTACATAAAGCAATTCGCCTACGTGGTATAACAATGTCATATATCACAGTCCATATAAAGAAATACTGAAACCTGCTAGCTAGTCTAAAACGTAATTTGAATTCAAAAGTATATACAAACGCATCTCCATCTTCAGTTTTTTGGATATCATGAGCGATAACTATTGCCTCCCATTCTTCTCTTCAGTATCTTCTCTGCTATATATGAAAAGATCTCAACCTTTGAGCAGTGCTTGTGTGACAAGTAGCAACATCATTTGTGTTCATTTATATAATTTCTGTTCTAAACTTTCATATGCCACATATGTCCCTACAAAAATATATCTGACTGCTTATCAGCCTGCTTAACTACCCTCCATAATTGAGGCTACTTCCATATAGTATATATTCATAAATTATGTAGCTACATTGATCTACCCATTTACATCTTGCACTCTCTCTAGTGCTCAAAAGTTGAATAATTTTCAGTTTTATGCCAATATCTTACTGATAATTTCTCATTGGTTTTCCCATCTTTAGTCTATTTTCTTCCAACAGTATTTTTGTACCTAAATAAACAAAATAAATACTATACAGTACTACAATTGTAAAATCAGAAGCATCTCTTCAGTTATTTTCATATATTTATTGTCTAAGAAAAAACTATTTCTTACAAGTATGATCCACTCCACTTGACATATCTTACATACATAATATCATCCACATAATTCTAAAACTTCACAATCTCTTTCCACTTCCAAGGAAATCAGGGAAAGTAAGTTAAAGAAGTGAGAACATACCTGACAATCATTTTCACAGGATACATCCCATACCCAAGAGCTTTCTCTGGGGCAATTGTGAATGATATGCGCCCATTCTTGTCCGTTACTTCTGTGCTTATTTGCTGCCAGTCCCCTCCTGGGGGATCTCGCATAATATGAATGTCCACCTTTTCACCTGAGAAACAATTAAAGGAAAATTGTAAATCATAGTACATTCATGAGTTGTTATCTATAAAAAATAGTACACCCATAAGCTGTAATCCCCAAAGCAATAATGTTTGCAATATTTGTTTTTATCTATCTGTATTGAGATTAATCTCTTCAAAATCATCATAAAAAAAAATAAAGAAAGAAAGAAAAAAAATCATGTATCAGTATTTCAGCAAATTGATACATATATGATGAAGATAACAATATTTTGAAAGAAATGAATTTCATAAATAAACTGATAAGTGAAACAAACATGACATAGTATGTATTGTGTTCTTGTTTATTTGTCTTACCCCTTTATATGATCATGTAAACTGATATTTATTTTTACTTTAGTCTTTTGACCCATCAGCAACAGATTATGAATTGCCTATTGGAGTTAAGTTTCTTGTGGATGAGAAACATTACCATGGAAGACTGAATTAAAATGCATGATTTTTAGCCTGACATCATTTCAAAGGAGTATTTGATAAGCAATGAATGTATGCTTAGTTATGAAACTTTAATGTCTTCATGAACAGAAACTAAAAAAATAATGTCCTTTCCATTTTCACCTTTAATTATATATTAATTAATTTAAACCTTCTTTGTTACTAAACATCCCCTCTGTATTAAACTAAAAATTCAATAACCAGTCCTAAACTTTTTGTTTCTACAATATCTATGGTCATCTGCTTGTATTTGAGAAAGGATAATTCTGACATTTTCAATATTGTTTTTATTTTATTTATCCCAACTGTAATCTCACTGTACTACTGACTATTCACTGTCAGCATTTATCTGCTTGGTAAACTTTTCCTAATACAATATGATCAGCTATAAAACTCTTAAGGAAGCCATATAGTATATACCTGAGAGAGCTACCATATCTAGAGGTCCATACATGAATCTTGCTTGTATGCACTGTGGGGCACCTTCACGTACAATCACGTCATTCCCTCTATGATTGGCAGCAACATTCTGAACGAGAGAAATAATCATAACAATGAGACAAATCTAATATTTTGAACACACAATCATTTAATGATTTGCTATGACTTTATCTGTAAATATTAAAAAATCCTCAATTCAAAAGACATAAAATGAAAGAAAATCTATATAAATGCATCTATTGATCATCTTCATGATTCTACACACACCTTAATCTTGACAGAGGTTCTCTTCTTCATCCATTTCTCCCTGGGCTGTGTGGGGGAGAACACTGGCAGATCTTTGTCATCTGCTGTTAGAGCTGCGTGATCTGTTCGAACCAGCTAAGATACGAGGAACAAAACTGTCTTTAGATACAGTATATAAATGCATACATATGACTACATAAGAGTGAGGTAATAATCACAAATGCATCAGATTTAAAATAAAAAAACTGACTTTCATTATACCTGTCTGAGAATGAAAGCAATCACATCTGAGGACTCCCAGTATGACGCATGGAATAAATGAGGCAAGGAGTTGGTCGGGAAGTTTGCAAGGCCCTCTGGGCAGTACAGAGCATAATCCAGACGTTTCGTTCCCCACCAGCGCTGACTCACTGCAAAGAAAAGATTTTGTGAACATTTTTTCTTCATGTAGATCTCTTGTTTATCTAATACTTTTGTATCTGGCCTATCTAAGTTTACTAAAGAAATGTCTAAATGTTTACATATAGGCTATAAAGAGATTTATGGACTGCAGCATAAAATAGGACACAACAAATACTATATGTATTCCCTCAGACTAACCAATGTAAACTGCATCCATGTAAAAAACACACAAAAGCAGAATGAAAGCAGAAATCTGCACCATCATTATATTTCTTGTTTGTTTGCACTTCCATCACTGCAATCAGCAAAGAATGTAACCATCTGTTTTTCTTTATTTTATCAAAATCTTGTTCTACTTTAAAACTTATGAAAAGAAATGTGGAAGTAATGTTTGTAAAAAAGGGTGAAGGAATTCCTACCTATCCAAACATATTCAAAGTAACTTCAAACCCCACATCCATATATAAACTTCATTCACAGATCAGAATAATTTTTGCACATAATTAATTCATTATAATCATAATCATTGTATCATAATCAATGATTAAACATTAAACTTACAAGCATTGATTGTTGCAAGAGGAACAGTATCTGCCATTCCTGACATGGTGGAAAGAATAGAGGCATCGGACATTCTTCGAGCCTGTCCTGCTAAAGACGGAGATCCAGTGGCTCCTCCAATGTCAAGGAACACCTCTCCATGAGTCTGAATGCATTCCACTGATGGAAGAAAAGAAGATTAACCACATGAAAATGCTAAATAATAATATTCTTCTTGAGTAATTAATTTCTTTGCTATTATCATCACATTTTCTGAAGGCAAAAGAAAGGTATTAAACAAATCTTTCAACCCTCACTGCCCAATACGAGCTGAAAGTAAATGTTCTTACACAGATGTGTTGGGTTCCCGTCTCCGAGAGGGTACTTTGTGTAGCGGGGAATTGTGATTGGAGGGAGTAGAGAAAACCTGGCAGAGAGTAAAGGCTCCAAACGGACAGCCAGTGGATCCGTTGGGTGGAATAAGTTATACACTTGTTGGCAAGCTGGTCTTTGTATCATACCTGATGGAGGAAATGAGATTAGTTGAAATTAAATATACATATAAAACAAGGCTTAGCAAAACAGCAATCCTAATCTCATTCTCATAAAAAACAAGATTTAGTAACAAAGACTTACAGCAAAACAGCCATCTTAATCTATTTCTCAAAAGTAACATATTTACTGAAAAACTTGTGACTATATTGCTGTGAAAGTATTCTCATGTTTTATCTTTTTTCAGATCGTTTTTATCTTCTGCAACTGCACCATTTGGCTTCTCATTATATTCATATATTTCATATACATTTAGCTTAAGCTCACTAATGCCTGAGTTTTGGAATTTCAAGCTCATAAATGTTTATTGCTAATTATATGAACTTAATAACTCTTCCTATTTATCATTTACTATTACATTTTAAAGTAAAGATCAAATAAAACTTTTTAAAAAAGTATGACCTAACAGAAAGTTCATATAAGCATAAGAGATCCTGCTACTCAAATTTGCAGAAATCACATGCTGTCATGTGATCGATAAAATGATCTACACAACAAATACACTAATTCTAATAAATGTACATACACACTGAGATACAATCCAAGAAAGAAAAGAAGACATATATAGAGAAAAAAAGGCAACAATATCAAAATAATAAACATCTTACAATTCTTATCTTCTGCATTCACCATCTTGCGGTACACTAATACGAGGGCTAATGGGCATCCAAACATGAACACGTCTGAGACTTCAAAATCCAGTCTGCTGTGGCCATGGTCACTGTAGAGAAAAAGATAGCAAATTACCAAGTGAAGCAAAAGATACATCTTCTTGCATCCATATCATAATATAAAAACATTATGAATCCTTCTTACAACAAATTGGTATCATTCTTTTTACCTATAGACTAGCTTGTCTATGAAAACTAGTCCATGTGATATTAGCAATACACAGATCTGACTTGAACCAAGGTCTCCAAAATACATTTACTTCTCATCTTATATTATCATTTGAATATCATTACCA